CTTCCGACGTGCACCCGCCTCACTTCTGGCGATTCCGGCACCTGGAGGCACCCCCCCAAAAAAGAAAAGAAAAGAAATCAATTGGAGTCACTAAAGTCGCTCTTTCGCTATCCCAGGGACGGATCCTAGGCGGCGAGAGAGGATGGTCATCCGGAATTTATTCCTAGATGTCTTGTTTGCAGTCGGCTCGCTTCTGGTTTCAGCTCTAGCCAGAGCACAGATCAACCCCTCGAGGCCTACAGCTGTTAGCGGAGGACATTCCCGACCCACGTCCCTCCAAATCCCAACACTGGACCTGGGCACTTTGGAGCGCGCCCCAAGTGCAATGCCCACAGCTGCTGGGAGACCTCGCCAGGAGGGCGCTGGGTGCGGCGCCTCTTGAGGATTAATCCCTTCGTTTGACAAAAGCCTGGAAAACGAGGTGCGTTTTAAGACCAGGACCCCAAGAAGCCAAGGATCATTCGCCCACATTGCTAGCTTACCTCTGCAATCAAGGGCACCACACGTCTGTTCAGAAAAGTCAGTCCAAGAGCAAGGCACGCTTCAGGATTGCCCGCCAACCTCAGTAAACCCGCGAAAAGTCAATTTGGGGCAGATCCTCGCCTGCTTTCCTTCTAGTTTTAAGGCCAGGCCCTCGTCCCAGGGGAAGAGGAAACATCCTAGAAGAAGGAAGAGATTTTTTTTCATTCCCAGCTTCTTCTCCTGAACGCTCTTGTCAAGGCATCACTAAGTCTGGGTGGGAATGGGAAAGATGTTTCTGCTCCTGTTCACACTTCCACCCACAAACTACCATCTCATTGACTGCGGAAGGTCCCTGTCATTCGGTTGCTTTTTTGTATTGCGTGTTCTTTCAAAATTAAATTAAAATTATTGACCAATTTTAAATAGATATTTCATTAAATGTGATAGTTTAAGATAATTTATATTTTAAATGTCTTAAAAAGGATTTTGAAGCCCCGCCGGTGGCACAGCCTATAATCCCAGCAGGAGGACCACAAGTTCCAGGCAGACCTCAGCAGCTCAGCAAAGCCATAAGTAACTTAGTGAGACCCTATTTGAAAATTGGGGAAAAATAATTAAAAAGAGGTGGGGTAGCTGGAGATATAGCTCAGTAGTAAAGCACTTAAGATCAAACCCCTGTACCAAAAGAAAAAAAAAAGACTAAAAATAGTCATTTACCATTATCTCTGAGAATACATAGACATTAATTTCTGGTGGTAGTGCAAACATTGTTGGAATATTTCTTTCCTCTATGTATTTGAGATGTCCCTAGAAAGTCATGACCCTTCAAAAATATGTGTTTTGTACTGACGATTGAACTCAGGGGCACTTAACCATTGAAGCACATCCCCAATCCTTTTTAATATTTTATTTAGAGATGAGGTTTCACTGCATTGCTTAAAACCTTGCTAAATTGCTGAGGTTGGCTTAGATCCTCCTGCCTCACCCTTCTGAGCTGCCGGGATTACAGGCATGCACCACTGTGGCCAGCATATATGATTTTTTAACATTAAAAGTAAATCAATTAACTTGTAAATGGATTCTATTGTTCAAAGAGGGGAACCTCACAGAACCCCCACCATATTTAGTTTGTGAAGTATTAGAATATATATTCCAAGTTACCCTAAAATATGTCTGAGTCAATATATTGGTAAAAGAAGCTAACCAATGTAAAAATATAAGTAAATAAGTATTATTATTTTTTATGATGTTGTTTTTAATATCTCATGAAGATTGAATACATTGATACTATAGAGTTTTGAAGGCTGTATTTTCTCTCAAATCTGGAAAAGGTTGATTTTGAAGTTTTCTATTTAATAGTAAAAAAGTTAATTTCATATAAAATGCATTTAAACTATACTTGATTGTTGTTTTTACTATGCTGTAATTCTTTCCTGCCCTAACATTAGCATGGATTTAGGGGTTTTGTTAGTTTGTGTTTTTTATACTGGAGATTGACACCAGGAGTACTTTATCACTGAGCTACATCCCATTTCCTTGTTTTCCCTTTCTTTTTCTTGTCTTTTATTTCTTCTTCTTCTCCTTCTCCTCCTCCTCCTCCTTCTTCTTCTTTCTGTTTTAAAGAGTCTTGCTAAATTGTTCATCCTCCTTGTCTCAGGCTCCAGTGTGCCCCACCTCGCTGCTATTTAGGATTTTTTAAATTCACAACTGTGCCTGTTACTAGTTTAAAATTATAAGAGTCCATTCATTCAGAATAAAAGGAACGAAACTTTAAATTTTGTAAACTTAGATTAAAACAAATAGATTAAAGAAAGTGTCGTTACAACATGTTTGCCAGGAAACAGACGGGTCCATAGTTGACAGGAACATCGTTTTGAATAGACTGGACGTGCCAAGTCCTGGCTTAGTTAACAAGGATTTTGGTTTTGTGTTTGCTTTCGTGTAGATAAATTTCTTCTGTAAATAGCACAACATGAAGTACAGCGGTTAGGGATAAAAGTAAGGAGTTTTACACACGGAATGTTTGGCGTTTTGTTTTGTTTTAGAGGAAACTCAAGTCATTTATTTTTACCGCGGTGTTCAGATCACAGGCCACCTACCCAAGCAATTTAGCAATTAGCACGCACAGGTTAAGTAAGCGGACAAAAAACAAGCTGAGTGTTTGCTTTATTTTTAATTACCACCCCGTCTCCAAGGTACTTTAAAATACAAAGGAACAGAAAGCACCTTTTTGTGATGCCAGGAAAGTGTTCCGGGTACAAACTGTTCCTATGCGAAACGGTTCAGCTGTGGTCAATACACATCAAAGGACCAAAACCAGCCCCTGGGTCCGTGGACCGAGAAGAGAAAGCCTCACCCGACGGGTAGCGCAAAGGTGACGCCCATTAGTTTGGATTTTTGCGCACACAATGTTTACCAAAGGTGTTCTCGTCTTTTGCGCGTTGATTTTCTCTTAAGGAGCGTGTGCGTGCGCGCAGGTGGCCTGGCCACGAGCGCTAGTTACTCGCACGCGTTTCTTGAATCTCCAGCACCGGGGTCTAATAGATTTCGGGAGCAGGTTCATTCAATTAGAGATCCTGGAGAAGATTCAAATCCAAGAGCCATCGTGCGCCTCAGACCCTCACCGCAGCGCTCCCAGCCGGCAGTGATCTCGGGCCACTGAACTGAGAGTGTGGAGCCGGGCGGAGCGCACCGCCCTGAGTCTTGGGTCAAGTGCGGCGTAAGCTCCCAAGCGTCGGGATGCCAGCGGTGAGTGACCGACACCCGCGCACCGGGGGCGCGGGTGGAGCGAGGCCCAAGTCTCCAGAGACCAGGCACTGGGTACAGTCTTAGGCCACTGCTGGACAAATCCTTCCCGAGGCTCCTTGAACGCTTCAACCTCCTTCTGTTCTCTGGGAGTTTATTGGCAGCTTTCAGGAGAACAATGAGACAGGGCAGAAATCCTGTCTTCAGTTACAGCGCCTGGGGAAGAAAACTGCAGGATTCGTGTTTGGAAAGCAACGCGATGTTTTATTCCAGCTCCTCAAGCTTTTTCCCTTTTGTGCGTAGAAAGTTTCGATTGACCTTCACCTGCTGGGCCCCAAATCTGCATTCCGAAACGTTGCGAATTTATTTAACTCCAAGAAAAAGGATGCCCCCTAAGACAGCCAGAGGGTCTTGGTACCCCCCAGAGCTCCAATTTATCAGCATTTAACTAGCATTGATGGCTGTTCGGGAAAAATGGCCCAAGTCTGGGTTAGGGCCTTTGACCTCACCCTATTTTTCATGTTTGTAAATTATAATATGGTAAAATACATTTAAGAATTTTGGTCAGATGCATAGAAATGTACTGTTGTCCAAACTAGATTCAGAAGATAATTTTTAAAAATGTTTAAGATACTTTTAGACCTATACTTGTTCATTTATTTATATGCAGTGCTGAGAATCGAACCCAGTGCCTTACACACGCTAAGCAAGCGCTCTGCCACTGAGCCACCACCCCAGCCCCTTGAGAAGATACTTTTAAAAATAGTTTGTTTGGGCTGGGATTGTGGTTTAGTGGTAGAGCACTCACCACGCATGTGTAAGGCACTGGGTTTGATCCTCAGCACCACATAAAAAAATAAACAAAATAAAGGTATTGTGTCCATCTACAACTAAAATAAGTAAATAAGGCTTGTTTGTATTATGCTTTTCAATTGTTGGCATGAAGGGAGATCAGATACTGTTACTCAATGTGGCCTAACAATGTTTAAAGTCAGAATAGTGGATCAGGGATCACTTCCTGAAGAAAACAACCTACTACTAAATGTTTTGGATACTTCTTTAGTGGTGGTTGGTGTTTGATCCCTGAAATTTCAGTATAGAAGCCCCAACATTGAAAAGTTGCACATTGCCAATACAAAGCTTAAACTAAGGCTGAGCTGGAGAGGCACTTTTTATTTTAATTGACAAGTTCTGATTCTGAAAATGGTTTAATTCAAAGCCTTTAATTTACAGTCACCAGTATAGAATTTAAATTTGTTATGGGCATTTATTCAAATAATGTCTGCTTCTTTTGATAGTCTGCATTGCGCTAAAGGAAGCCGGATAATATTTATTTGCAGCTCAAGAGGCTTAGACGGGAGGATCATGAGTTCAAAGCCAGCCTCGGCAACAGTGAAGCACTCAGCAGCTCAGTGAGACCCTGTCTCTAAATTAAAAAAAAAAAAAAAACAAAGATAGGGGTGTGGCTCAGTGGTTGAGTACTCCTGAGTTCAATCCAAAGTTGTCTGCCCCCCCCCCCCAAGGCACTGTTACTGTGATGGAACTGTTGCTCAGTGGTTGAGTGCTTATCTGGCATGGACCTCCTGGATTTGATCCCTAGCACCACAAACAACAACAAAACCCCATGGTCTGTCTTAGGCTGTAATCAGCATCATGAGCAAACAAAAAGTTTCTATTCAAATAAACAATATAAGCCTTTATTTTTAGACCTTGAAATAGAATTCTTCGAAATAAAGTGTGTGTGTGTGTGTGTGTGTGTGTGTTCGTGTGTAACATCTTTTTATTGCACACAGAAAAATGAAGGTTCTTTGCAGTCTGTTAAGGAAGATGATAGTGTCGGGAAGAACCAAGATGCCTTCTGGGTAAAGATCAAGTTTATTTTGTATTCTTTGGTAGTTCTGATGGGTCATTAGCCAGAAACCCTTTTTTGTTTCTTCCCTAATCTCCCATATCCAATTCATTTCCATGTCTAGCTGATCTTACCTCCCACTGTCCTGACACCTTAGTATAAACCATCTTGCACCCAGGGAGCATCATTCCAGGTGAAAGTAGATAATATCAAACAAAACAAAACACAGTTCCTACCCTCTCAAGCTTACACTGGCTGAGAGAAAAAGAAACAGACCAACAAATAATCATGCAATGGTAAAGAAAAGGGCAGGGTATTGTAAATGGGGTTGTAAGGAGGCACATGGCTCACTTTAGAGAAGATGGTCCTGAAAGAGCTTAAGTCTGAGATTCACCATGGTGAAAGTGGTAGAGAGCAGCAGTCTAGGGATCTAACTGCTAGTGCAAAGGCCCTGAGGCAACGGAGACTTTGATTTATTCTCAGACACATTAGTAGGGAAGTCAGAAGTTGGTAGAGATTAGATCATGTAAAGGCCTGAAGGATAAAGGGTTTGGATTTATTCTGAGTTTGGGGGAAGAGATGGTGGAGACTTAAGTAGGTAAAAGCATGAAGTTTTGAGTTGGGGTCTGAGTATGAATCTCACTTGAATGATCTCCTGAAAGTCTGTAACCTCCCCCAGCCTTGCTATTTCTCCAGAGGAAGACTAACTTCAGGGTATTAGGGAGGTTTCAGAGGGGGAGCATTTGTGGAGTCCTTAACACATTTGGCACAAAAAAATTCGCTATGTGGTGATTTAAGAGAGAATTCTATTGTGCTGGGCTCAGTGTTGCACGCCTGTAATCCCCAGCAATCCAGGAAGATGGTGAGTTCTAGGCCGACCTTAGCAACCTAGAGGGGCCCTAAGCGACTTAGCAAAACTGTCTCAATAAAGGGCTGGAGATGTGGCTCAGTGATTAAACTCCCCTGGGTTCAATCCCAGGTACCTTCTCCCCCGCCACAAAAAATTGAAATGGAGTAGTTTCAAATGCTATTTCTTTATTTAAACCTGCACTAAGAATTAGAATTTTGAATTAAATATAGTAAAATGCCTCCTTACTAAAATAGTACTGTATATTATAATTTGGACTATACAATTGGACTGGATTTTCTTTTAAACTGTCTTTTGTAGCATAACTACTTAAGGAAATGTCTGTTATTCAAGTGAATGGTCTCCCTTGGCTAATATTCAGGCAAAAAGATAGTTTTTTGTATGGCAATTTGCATATTTGTCAACTTTTATAATTCTTAGTTTTATTTTTTCTTCTGTTATTTAAGTGTTCCTAGGCTTGCATTTCTTATTAGAATTTGCAACATTTCTGAGCGTCTTTTGATATCTATAATGGAAGTGCAGTTTCCCTTAAATCTGTAGTTCTCAAGTTTTAGCAGGTGTCAGCAATCCATAGAGCTCAGCTTGCAAGTCTCTGAGCTCTCATGCGACCCCAGGTGATGCCAATGCTTAGGGTGAACTGGGACTCACATTCTGAGACCTCTGCCTGAAGCCAATGGAAAGGTCAATCATTTAAGTGATGGTGGACTATTGAAGACAGGTTTTTATTCTATATTTACCCTGCATTATTTCTTGCTGACTGATTAGTATCGATATTAGTTAGAAATATTACTATAAAACAGATGTTCTTGAGTAAAAAAAAAAAAAAGTAACTCAAACGATTACTTTTCCAGCTTCAATCACTGATTATTGACGCATCAAATAACAAAGGATTTCAGAAGATAAAAGAATTTTTTGAAGAGAGAGCGAGCTACCTTCCTCAAAAATATAATCATCTTCTGTTACACCATCTTGACAGATCAATAAATAAGGCAAGTGGTTATTCCTTTGGGGGCCAAGATACCAATGTACAGCTACTTGCAAGAGCTTTAATTTGGTGTGATCTACTACCTAGGAACTGGATAAAAATGAATTTCGGTCTGTTTCACTGTTGCTGAAATGTATTCAGCAATTCTTCACAGATGACCCCAAGGAAAAGGAACCCTTGCTAATTCAGCAGGGACTGATCTTGAAGATAAGTGCTACACTTTTAATTTCACATGACTTTGGGTAACCTTTAGTGTGAGGGGTGGTGGGGATGGCTCAGTGGCAGGTGAGTGTGCAGAAAGTGTCTGGCTCGAGTCCCGAGTCCTCAGCACCACAACACAGAAATTACTGTGGATTGTTAAGTTTCTGATCCTTTGAAACCAAATATGAAAAGGAATTGGTGTCCATTCTTCTTGCTTTCCAATCAAATTAAATTCCACCCACATCTCCTGTGGTTTTTCTGGGCAGAGGACATTTCGAGTGGACAGGATCAAGTCGGACACAACCCTTCCCTTTGATAAGCCTATGTACAGTGGCCTGTCTTCCGTTATTTCAGTGAACCTGGGGAAGATGGGATGAGTAGACATAGGCTCTAAAAATATTTTAATAGACTTTATTAACAAGGTTGGACCTAGAAAAATCATCCAACTTCCCTTTCAATACCTCACTCTGCCTGCTTTCTAAACCCCTGGATGAATCTGAAAAACAAAAGCATTTGCTTTTTGGTTTTATTTAAAGTTATTCCAGTTATAATTTTTTTTTTAAAAAAAAACTTAATGAGGAGGTAACGTTACAATCACCTTAATGAGTCACACCAGGAAGGAAAGCAGAGTTCTCAATCCTCACTGCAGCTCCTTCATGGTGAGGTCTTATAGCCCCGGGATGGTGTGCAGGAGGCAGGGAGAAGGGCAGGCGGTGCAGTGCAGGGATGATCTGGCTGGTAATAAAGCCTTGATTGTCCTCCTTGGCTCTAGGCCCTGGAATATATTAAGACCAGGTTGGGCCAAGAAGACCCGTCTCTGCCCCTTTTCTACTCTCACATACCAGTAATTATGGGGCTGGGAGGGAGAGGGAGAGAGAGAGAGAGAGAGAGAGAGAGAGAGAGAGAGAGAGAGAGAGAGAGAGAGGGGGGGGGGGGGGGGCGGGGAGGGGGGAGTAGCTTCCAGGCTTTACCAAATTCCTGGGGTAGGGGACTTTTAAAGACTTACATTTTGCATTTAATTAACTTAATGCCCTGATACACTGATGCATATAACAAGTAGCAGGGAAGAGGGATGTCCTAAGGGTACTTTAGAGCTTAAGCTGATTTTTTTTTTTTT